ACAGTATCAAAAAATTTGTGCCTCATGGTGAAATGATCAGATGGATGAAACATTATGTTAGACCCGATTCTTTAGTTGGAAGCCCAAGAACAAGCCGGAGAAATCTTCAGTTCTCAGTTGTATAATTTATTTATTTCAGTCACAGGTAAAGTGAGGCAGCGCTGGAATTCAGAGGGACAGAGAGGAATCTCATGTCCAGCTGAACTGAGTGTTTTCGGTTCCAGGTTACAGATATCTTCTTGGGCTGGGCCTGCCCCGAACATAGATAAGACTTGTGCGCTACCGACTTTAATTGGCCAGTTACCAATGGCGTGGGCAGGCATACTTCTTCTGCGCTCTGTCCACGTCCTTGACATTTAGTAAGCAACATGTGTGGATGTTGTTGGTATGGCGTGTAGCTAAAGTAGCAATCGTATCTAATAGAAAAGAAGAATTTCTGCTGTCTCCAAGTGTGCAAACCGGTTCTCACCGGACACATTATCTTCAAGGACATAAGCTCAGTACAAAATACAAACTCAGAATACATAATAACTTGAAACTTAATTAATTATAAGAACCATAGGAATCATGGAAAAATACAGACTGAGGACACATAATAGCTTGAATCATACTTAATTATAACATTTATCTCTCTGTAGGCCAAGGGACATGCAACAAAAAGCAGATAATGAAGCACTGGAGACCACATTCTGGAGTCTTGGGACTCCAGAATGGATGACGTCAAAGAGTTGCTGGGTTAGCAGAAAGAGGGATGTAATCAACAAACAAGAAGGCAGGTGGAGAGTCCATTACAAGATAAGGCTAGATTTGAATAACACTTGGATGATATACAATGCCTATAAAAAATGTTTATGCCTATAAAAACTGTATTACTTGACTAACTGTTGTTTGGTTGTCACATGATGGCAGCTCATTCACCACCCAACCTGCGAGCCAAGTGGTACTAAACCTGAACATCGCCTACAGTGCAGCTCTTTGGCAGCCGCCGAGATCCATACTATTCTTCGGGATTAATTAAGTGTGCCAGTGAATAAGCATTGAAGCACACTTAAAACTATTTCTTGGGGTTGTTGTTATAGATTGTTTCAACGCAATTTTTGGCACCTAACTCATCCGACAACTTTGAGAGGCCCCATATGAATTACATATCAAAACATGCAGATGGATCAGAATGGTGTACTATGACTTTTGATAGTGGTTCAATATATGGTTTTTACAAAATTTGTCAAACAAACAAACAAACAAACAAAAACACTGCGTGAAAAATTCCCATTCAAATGAATGGGAAGTTGGCTGGACAACTTCCAAAACCAAGCCATCTTTGGAACCCTATAGCTCTTCAATCAAAATTTAAATTGGTCAAAAGGCTTTGGATGAGTGTGTTGTGTTTAAATTTGTGTCTTGATATCTTTCACAGTTTGAACATAGTCACAGTTTGCATATTATAAATCCTTTGAAAATCCAGAGTTTTCCTTCAGTTTTTGACCATAAGATTTTTTTTATTTTTTTTTTAAAAGTGCTGTTAATTTTGTCTTGGCCCTCAGTATTTGCTGGGTTAAACTTTTAAATAAGAGTGTGTCCCAAGTAACAGTGGTTGAAAGATCTATAGCAGCTGTCTGATTTTTTTTTTTTTTTTTTAAAGAAAGGAACAACACTCTCACAAGGGTAAATGAAGGAAGTTCATCTATGTGGACTTTTCAAAGTAAAAGCCCTTAGTTAACAAAAAAAGTTGATAGACTACACCAGGGGTGTCCAATCCTGGTCCCTGAGGGCCACAGTCCTGCATGTTTTAGGTGATTCCCTCTTCCAGGACACCTGATTCAAATGATCAGCTCATCATCAAGCTCTGCAGAAGCCTGATAACGATCCTGATCATTTGAATCAGGTGTGTTGGAAGAAGGAAACATCTAAAACATGCAGGACTGTGGCCCTCAGGGACCAGGATTGGACACCCCTGGACTACACTGAGGTACAATACACAATCAAAGTAAAAGTTCAGAAATGTTTCAAAAGGCTTACCAGAAACTCTGAAATATGCTGGCATTTCAAAACAAAATTTACTTATATAAACAATATCTTATGTACGATGAAAGCAGGACGTATCAACTGGAGAAACCTGCATTGGCACACTCAAATTGTCTTCAGGAATTGTCTAGGTAAATATAATATAAATATTAGAAAAATTGCGCCCGGATAGCTCGGCGGGTAGGGCGGGCAACCCATGTACAGGGGCTATAATCCCCAACGCAGTGGCCGCGGTTTGATTCCAGCCAGCGGCTCATTTGCTGCATGTCATTCCCCCACTCTCCTCCCAACATTTCTCTGTCTATCTTCACTGTCAAACTGTCATTAAAGGTGGAAAAGCCCAAAAATATATCTTTAAAAAGAAAAATCTCAAATACAAGGAGAAAAAAAAAACACTTTTAAATAAAGGGAACAGGGATAACAAAAGTGACGGGCATGGTGTTGTAAATATGTTGAAATATGGACAAAATACATACAAGAAATTTGATCATAAATGCGTCTCGTCTTGAACAAGTCTAGAAATTGATAAGGACACTTCAGAAAGAAAAAAAGAGCTTTATTTCAATTGGACCAGGCATCAATAGCTACCAAACCATCTAAAATATATAATTGTTACACTATGAGAAAAATACATCAGAACCCAAACTTTGTCTTAACCCGTACAGGTGGGAGTACAATGAAAATGTGTATTATGTAGTGTAATCATAATAGTAATGAATCATTTATTTAAAATATTTTGTGATGATACAAAGTGCTTCCAAGCAGCCCATTTCAAAATGCAGCAATGTTTATATATTTTAAATTATGCTACCAATAAGAGATATTAAAACACAAAGTTTAAAAACTGACAAAGTGACAATAAAATGTTGAAAGTTTAAATATAGATAGCAAAGTCAGACATATATCAACAACCAAAAACATTTAGAAAATCACTCACAAACGAAATAGCATTTTATGAGATGTCTGTGCTTAATTAGAATTACTCTAAGTCACTAAATAGTCACAATACCCAAACCGCAAATTAGATTCTATCACTCATGCAGCATACAGCACGACTGTGGCCAATATCTAATAAAACAAAGTATGATTGATTGTTCAAGCAGAAGTACATTATTGCATGTTTGTCATTCAAACATGGTAGGAAACAGTGATTCAGTTTAATATATGACATAGACTGTTGCATATGGAAGGGAATCTAAAATGAAGCAGATGAAATTATCTATGTTCATCTCCACCTCTCACTTTTTTTTAGCTTTATGTGATGTTTTCTGGTGTTGCTTTGCCTCCATCCTGTATATAAAGACAGCACAGACATGTGCATTAGTATTTGAAAGAGCAGTGCCTGGTGAAAGATGCAGTTTTATTGTATTGTCTGCAGTGAACCTGAGGGGAAACAGGTTTATTTCTTTATGTGACAGTAAATAGAACTTTCTTTTTGCAGGGGTTTGGACTATTGAATAGAGTGAAACAATAAGCTTTTGGAAGATGCTACCAAATATTACCAAATAGACCAAATACAAACAAGTACACTAACTATTAGTGCATTATTTAGATGATTGTTTAAGAAAATAACAAGCAGATTAATTAACAATGACTGTAAATATTATTAAGATGTAACATTTTTAACTTCTCCTTGCCTGAACATATTCCCATTCTATTGCTTGTAACTTACTAAAACCTACTGCAATGAATGGATCCCTGAAAGCCCCACAGAATACTTATTCTATACTTAACATTGTATATCTAAATAATACCTGAGAGTCCAGTTTTTCGTCCCACTGGTCAAACTTCTTCTGGGCAGCCTCCACAACCTCATTGTCAGAGTTCTTACAGTAAACCCCAATGAACTGTTCAGACATGAGCTTTGGGAGATGCTTCAACACCTGACAAGAATGACAATGGCATTAATGTAGAAACAATGATATTACAAAACTGCCTTGCAAAGAAATACACACCATGAACAAACAGCTCACGCAAAGAAAAATTAGGCTCAAAACTTTTAATGATATGACTTATTTCTGACCTTATCTCGGGGGAACCGGAATGGTCTGTTGGGGTTTCTCTTTGTGTAGAAGTATGTGTTACTGATGAAGGCCTCATGTTGTTTCCCATGGCCTATGTTGAAGTGCTATAAGAAAAACATCAGAAGTAAGCATTGTTTGCATTTAAAAAAAATGATGCAACAGCACTAGGGAGGCTACATCTTATTAATCAGTCTGATAAACAACAAGGCCCACGATTTAGGAAAACTGAGGTAAGTTATTAGGACAAAAGCTTACAACAATCTCCAAGTCCTCTGGTCTGAGTGTGACCTGACGAGTGTCCCCCGCAGGGGGGAAGATAGCTAGCTGGTTTTTCCAAGACTTGATCAACTCCTGAGGGAGCGAGAAAAAAAAGGGTGAGAAACAGGAGAGACCAGGGTCTTGAGATTTGGTCCATCTCATTCCCACACAGCATGTCCTAAGTTGGTACATTAACAAATATGGATATGTGTTCGTGCCAGTTTTTTCTTTTTGTCGGTCCTGTCCATTCTGAAACACTAAAACAGAACTTTTGCAAAAATTTGTTCAGAGTGTGAAAATCCTAAACACAAGCTTAATGTTTTATGAGTATAGGGCAAATGGAGCTTTTGCAAAATAATGATCCTAGCCGGCCCAGGTATTGCAGTGCTGTTAGACAGCAACCTTGTGGATGATGGTCTTGGTGATGGAGGCTTTTACACACAGCTGGAGCTTGGAATCAGATTACCAGCCAACTCTACCACCAAACAGCGTCTCAGTTACTTATTTCTCATTTGGTCATCTCTTTCACAGAATAATATGAATAATGATCACTGAAAAGAGATTATAAAGAAACGCCCAGGCTTTCTCGACATAGAAACACCTGCCTACCAGATTAGGGTTGAAGTGACAGCCAAAAGAATTTGAACTGCAACCAAAGTCTTAGAGTCTTACAAACAAAACAATATTTTGTCCTAATAATTGGCTTGTGAGAGTGAAACCAAACCATAAACACTGCAAGCAAATAGAAAAAGTGTTTGTGTTAATTTTGAGTTGAGATGCAAAAAACAGTTTTTAAAAATGAAATCATATATTTTTTTTAATGTTCTACATCCATTAATGAACAATCTTATGCTCAACAATTCAATAATTTCCCTGAGGTTTGCACTGAAGGGATCAATAAAGTTTTATTCTATTCTACTTTATTCTATTCATGACTTCCCGCTTTATGAACTTCCAGTAAGACACTGTTTTTTAAAAATTAATCGGAATGTTCAGATTATTGCCACAGCCCGCCCGCTGTGTCACACAGATGTTTAATGCAATATAGGCGCACATAGACATTAGTGCATACCTCTGTGGGTCTCTCAGCATCCCTTTCGCCCAGAAACTTGTAGGTTTTCCGAGTCGTGATCCTGTGTAGAATCTGCCTTGCCTGAGCCATCTCCTCGGAGGATTTGAGTGCTTTATCAATTATCTCCTCTACAGAACAACCAGAGAAAGAGATTGATCGCCTCACACTTGCATTCATTGTTTAAAAGATAAATTACACTTTAACGTAAGAAGCACAACTGACCAAAGTGAATAATATTACTATGTGATGAATTTACCTATATTACATTTTTCAAATATTTCATCTACTTTTAGTAATTGCAAAGTTTATTTTATTTAAAGATGCTGAATTATTTATGTGCGCCTCTGAAACTTCACCAAGCTACTTCAAGGTGGGATTGACGGTTTGTTTAACCCTTCTACCACACAGATAATAATTGCTTAGCAACTGTAACTGGGCATATCAAGCTTGTCAAGTGATACATTTCTCCAGTTGCTGAAGTGAAGTGCATGGGGCCATAGCAATAGCGATTTTCAGCATGTAGAGTTTTTATGTTGCCGTCAAATTAAAAAAAAAAAAAAAAAAAAGCAGCACATGATCAAAAGTTTAGCTATCTTCTTCACCATCTAGTAAGCTGCAGAAGAACAACATGTGGTATTGTTAGAAACTTATTCAACTTTGAATTAGTGCAGGACACAAACATCTCTTTTGTTGCTGTTATTTGTTATTATTCTACAAATTAACATCAGTGGCTAAACATGTTTTTAATTGCACTTGCCTCAGCAAACTGATGTGTGGCCATGACCCTGTGCTAGTAATGACAAGTGCCCCCAGTGTGAGAAAACAGTGTGTGGTACGAAATGCTTCTAATTCCTATCAAAATTTTGTGTAATACCTTAAGTTCTGTGGTGCGCCTTATTCTGTTTGATATGTTTACAAAAATTTAAATCTCCCAGAAAAAAAGCCTCATCCCGGAAAGCATTTCTTACTTGTAGTCTCATCCTCAAAACCTTTTCTGAGTGAAAACTTATAACAGACTAGTCGTATTAGACGGAGACAACAGTCTGATCTTACATTTTTGTGCATCATGATTAACCATTTTTACACCGTAGCACCAGACCAGTGTTGTTTCCTTGTTTACATGTCTGCTAAACACATGCTACACATTTAGTATATTTTACACATGGCACAGATAGCGCTTGGTGTCCTAATCTTCTTCAAACATGAGCTAGCGGCATATAGCAGTAGGCTATCAACTGACTTTTCTTCTCCATGTAGGGGTCCGTTGTTTGTGATCCTGTTTCTTCTAACTCTTTTTGTAGCATCTTAATCACCTCAGGAGGATTAGAGGGGGAGTAAAGTATTTTCTCAAACACGTGATCTGCAGGGGGAAAAAGCATGTAAAATAGATCAGTCAGAACAAAGCAAAGCCAATATCACAGAATTACAGTAAATTGCATTGCATACTGAGCAGACTAACTCATAAAACAAAGAAATATCTGATACAATAGCTTGTGCTTTATTAATCTGTTTC